AGATGCTCTGGAATTAGCATTGACTGGGAAAGTAATCATCAAAGGTTCTTCTGGCTTGTCCAAGGGCTAAAAATGTGTCAGTGTTTGAAAAATTACAGGGTGTTACCTTTATCCTACTCCGAGTATAGTGAAGGATAAGTTGGTATGACTTGGGAATTCAGCAGGATACGGAAGTTCCTGGAGGATATCCCCAAAACCTGTAGTATTTTTCCAAAGGGTGTGTGTGGAAGGCAACAGTTTGTTCTCTCCAGGAAGTGGGAGTTGCCTTGACATTTCGAGAGAGCCAAAATCTGGGAATCCCAGATAGGTTTGTGTTGGAAGGAACCTTAAATCTCATCTCATTCCAACCCCACTGCCGTGAACTGGGCCACCTCCCCCTGCACCAGGTGGAATGTGAGGGTGGCAGATCACTGAATTTGCCCCCTGCTAGAACCATGTCCAATTTTATTTTGTGTTCTTTCTATCATCTCTCCTCATTGGGTGCAGGCCAGTAATTCAGGATATTTGAGATTTATCCCACAGTGTAACCAAGCCTCTGGCTCCTGCAGTGCACCATTAAGTTTTGTGTTGGTACCTCCTCATCTTTTGCTTTGCTCAGAGCACATAATGAACTAAATAGAGAAGGGAAAGTCTGTATAAAATCAGGCAAAAAGGAATGAAAGAAAGGAAAAGCCTGTCTGAAGTTTAGGCAAGAGGAAAATCCAAACTTTTGTGGATGACTGATGTTCCTTCCTTAAAATATTCATAAATAAATACCGAGAGGTCAAGAACATTTCAAATATTTGTGGCCTCTTGCTGCACTTGGGAGATGTTAATTTAGTCCTGTGGGCACAAACAGGAATATCCCTGCAAAACAAGTACAAAATCCAATTTAACACTCCCACCCACACTTGATTTGCTGTTTGACACAAATGAAGGGCTTGGGAATATTTCCAGCCCATAATAATAAACCCATTAAACCCTCAATAATAACCCTATTAAACCCATAGTAATAAAAAAATCATGTTATCAGCCATGCAAACAGTAATTCTCACCAACACATCATTTGGATCCTCCAGCACAATTCCCATCCCTCCCTGGAGCTGTGATGTTTGCTGGAATACTGGGAAGCTGGGGGAGATCAGGAGCTTCTGTTGGGTTGGGAGGGGATGGCAGGGAACTTCTGTCCCTCAGGAAGGGAAATTTAACCTGGAGGAAGTTGGTTTGGTGCTAAAGTGGTCCCTGAGAAGTGTTTCAACTTGGGGATTCCCATTGTGTTCCCTCAGCTGTGTAGGAATAACAACCCACTGCCTTATTTTGCTGTTCTCCAGCTCTAACAGTCCAAGCCCAAATCCTCAATTAACCTGCCTAAATCCTGTTCCCCATCATGAGCAAGAGTTGTGGGTATTAGTGGAAGATTTCCTTTGAAAAGAATGATAATGATATAATTAATATTGTTGACATTAAAGCCCTTGTCATTATATTGCAGAGTTAATGATCCTTCAAGAGGCATTTTGGTAATTCAGATCTCCCAGAACTGTGTTTTCAAGCTGTTTCAGACAGAGGAAGATAATTTGCTACCCTGGAATAATGTTGCTTTATATTCTTAGGAATATCCTAGGAATGTTGAAGCAGAGTTGGTAACACAAATTTCAATTTACCACAACAGGTAAAGGCTGTCACCTTGGAGATGAGGGTGTCTCTAAAAAATATGGGATGAATTTCCTGGGAAATAAAGTAGCAATTTATTTGGGTTTTATGAAGCAGTACTTTGTAAGTTAATGATGGAAATGAGAGTTGTCATGTGGATCTGAGGAGTTACTGGAAGAAGAGCAGTAGTTGCTCTGGCTCTGCAGAGGAACGTGGTGTTCCTAATTCTGAATAAACATTATGAGATGTATCCTGGGCTGCATCAAAAGGAACGTGGCAGCAGGTCCAGGGAGGTGACTCTCCCCCTCTGCTCTGCCCTGGTGAGGCCCCACCTGGGTCACTGTGCACAGTTCTGGTGTCCCAGCATCACAAGGACATGGAATTGTTGGAGCAAGTCCAGAGGAGGCCACCAAGTTGCTGAGGGGACTGGAGCACCTCCCCTGTGGAGACAGGCTGGGAGAGCTGGGAATGTTCAGCCTGGAGAGGAGAAGGTTGTGTGGAGACCTCACAGCACCTTCCAGGGTCTGAAGGGGCTACAGGGAAGCTGGAGAGGGGCTGTTCATTGGGAACTGGAGGGACAGGATGAGGGGGAATGGGTTCCCACTGCCAGAGGGCAGGGTTAGATGGGATATTGGGAAGAAACTCTTCCCTGTAAGGGCAGGGGGGCCCTGACCAAGGTTGCCCAGAGAAGCTGTGGCTGCCCCTAGATCCCTGGAAGTGTCCAAGGCCAGGTTGGATGGGGCTTGGAGCAACCTGGGCTAGTGGAAGGTGTCCCTGCCCATGGCAGGGGGTGGAACAAGGAGATCTTTAACATCCCTTCAACCCAAACCATTCAGGGATTCTATGATTCTGTGGGATGGGAGAGGTGGAAACGGACACCTCACCTTTCTGTGTCTCTTGCAGCACTGGCAAGAAGGGCCAGTCAGTAAGGGATTGTTTTATTTTCTTTTTTTAAGTGTAATTTATGCTCCCGCAGATGTTCTTAATTGAAAAAAAAAAAAAAAAAAAACAACATTTACCTTAAACTTAGGTAAAACAGGCTCCTCTATCCTGACAAATGTCCCTTTTGGTTTTTGGCCACACTGGCTGAAGGGAATTTATGAGCTCTTCAGTTGGGTAACTCTGGGGCAGTAAATTGCCCTGTCAGGCTGCTTGGACCAGTTTCCCTCAGAGCAGAGGGAAACCTCTGAGCATGCAGGGGGATGTTTCCAAATTATTCTTTTTCCCAGCAGAGCAAAATCAGCTTAGTTCCCTCTCCCCATTTCCCAGGGATTGCGTGTGATTGCAGGTGGTGGAACACCAGAATGCCTGGCAGGTCCTGGGGGGACTGTGCTGGACCCTCAGATGTTGCAGGGGTGCTCCTGTGATGGCTGAGGGTGCCCCAGGCTCCTTCGTGCTCTGGGAATCACTAAGGTTGGAAAAGACCTCCAAGGTCACCAAGTCCAACCTTTGGCCAAATCCCACCATGCACACTAAATATCATCACTTCTGCCTCTAAAGGCACTGGAACTTTCCTTCCCTTTGCCAGCTGTGGGGATGAAGGGAAGGAGGAGTTGGGTTAGGACTGGATGCCACAAAAAAATCTTGTAGCAGAAATGAGTCAGTTTGTTCTGCAGTTGTCAGGTGTTCACATCCCACTGTGGAGAGGGAAGAGTAAGTGATCCTCTCTGGAAACATGGATTATCACTTGTGCTGCCCCCAACTTTGACAGCTTTGGCTTATTGCAGGGGAGGAAACGTGCTCTGTGCATGGCCTGCACACACAGGAGATCAGGAGTGGAGGGGATTCAGTGGGGCTGCACTGTGGGGAATAGAAAAAAACCCAGCCAATTTTGGACTCAGTGCTTTCCCTGATACTTCTTTTTACTCCTAATGGACCTTAGCTAATAGAAGAAATTACTAAGGTTATTTGTGTAGCCCAGAGAAAAATAACATCTGTGATTTGTATGTCGTGGGTAGAGCTGAAAACTGCCACGGAAACTGGTTTGTGGAGAGGCCCCAGAGCTGACATCCTGTCCTTCCTCCCAGCAGAGAGATTTTGAGAGAAAGCATTGACTGGAAAAGTCAGGAGCAGATGCCAAAACATCAGGGAGGGATTCTTGGTCTGAACATGTGTTGTGCTGTGGCCCAGCTTGACAAACCAGATGCTTGTGAAGCCAAGCCCTCGGATAATCCTAATGCTGGAGGATCTTCAGGTGGTGTCTGAGGGGAATTTTTGTTTGACACTGTTTGATTTGGGTGTTTCAGCGCTGCCCAAATCATTCTGGACTATGTCCTTAGATGGAGGATGGATGCAGACAGCTGGAATGGACACATTAGTTAGAATTTGGCTTTTCCCTTAACACATTTTGTCACATCCAGTGATGTTTTAATCGCCGCTCTCTGAAGAACTACTTAGTTTTCTACAGTTTGCTCATCGTGTTCTTCAAAACCAAAGGTTACCATGTTTCATCCTTGTTCCTCTACTCTCAGAAGAGGCCAGTCATTGCAGCAGAAAACTGTTTAGGTTTGTTCAGTTGGTGTCTCTGTTCTCACACACTGAACCTCCAATTTCGGTGGCAGCCAATTAATTCATGACTGTCCTTATAGGGATGGACATAATTCATATATGCTTTTCCAAGAGCTCCCAGGTTCAAATGCTGACCTGGTTTTTTTCCTCCTCTTAATTAAATTATGGTGTGATGAATAAGGTTATGTAAATGAAACAAAGGGCATCCTGTGAGCAAGGCATTCTCATTTATTTGCCTTTATAAATGACATCTGGGATGATCATGAGAGATTTGCATGTTTTGTTTTCAGAACAGTTGTCAGGAAGTTTCCCCGAATGTTTCATTCCGGTGGAAGTGTTCATTGTAAGACTTGGTAATGAAACCTTTTATCTTGTGGAAATCAATTAAAAGTTAATTAAAATTGTTAATAAGAAAAAGATTACTGTGCTTCTTCCCTGTACTACATCCATGTGCTAAGCAGGGGTGGCTGTGACTTCATCCTGACTGCTCTGTGGATAATTGTCCTTTTAATTGACATCTGTCAGTGGATGGTTGGATCTGCTTAGTTTCCAATCAGTTCTATTTCCTCCATAGAAATAACTGATCCAGACAAAAAAACAACCAAACAAACAAACAAAACCCCACAGGAAACTCCAAAAGTAATCTGAAATACTCCTATAATTGGAAACCAGGAGAACAAATTCTCATGAGACAACATTTTTGTATTAGGTTTATTTGGAAGTAGGGTGCCCTAAAGAAGCACCTCTGAGCAGCCACACAAGCAGTGGTGCTCTGTAGAGCCCTTCCCCAGGTTACCTGCTTTCCCTGGGGGAGCTGTGTTGAGTATGTGCATTAAAACATGGTTCTTCTGCTGTTCCTCCAGGCTACAGATGCAGATGCTGGAGTCAATGGGCAGGTCCATTACAGCCTGGCAAACTTCAACAACCTGTTCAGGATCACGTCCAATGGCAGCATTTACACAGCAGTGAAGCTCAACAGAGAAGTGAGGGACTACTACGAGCTCATCGTTGAGGCCACAGACGGAGCTGCGGATCCCCGTCGCTCCACGCTCACCTTGGCCATCAAGGTGCTGGATATTGATGACAACAGTCCTGTGTTTACCAACGCTTCCTACACCGTCTACGTGCCAGAAAATCTACCCCCAGGCACTGTCTTCCTGAAGATAGAGGTGAGGAAGTTACGGAGTGAAGAAGATGTTGTGTGATTGATTTAACTTGGCAGTGAGAGTGCAGGCGGAGATTGGGAACTGCAGTGTGGGGGAAGTCTTTTTGCCCAGAGAAGCTGTGGCTACCCCATCCCTGGAAGTGTCCAAGGCCAGGTTAGACTGGGCTTGGAGCAACCTGGGCTAGTGGAAAGCGTCCCTGCCCACGGCAGGGAGTGGAATGAGATGGTCTTTTGAAGGTCCCTTCCAACGCAAACAGTTCTGGGATTCCTTGATTCTCTCCCTGGTAGTGGCTGATAGCAGGTGTTCCAGGGAAGAGAACAAGACCAGGCTCATCTTCCATTGCCTCTTTCCCTGAATATTGTCCTTGTCTCCTGTGGCAGGTACCTCTGGCTTTTAGACCCTTCAGTGAATTTGATTCCTTGTGTCTGTGTACATCGAATACAATTAGAGCAATATAACAAAACTGCACTTGTTTGCAGCAGTTTTCTTTTATATATCCTTTAAACCTAGTAGGGGTGTTTTGTGAAAAAGGGCTTTGTTTGGTTTCAAGTCCCTTTGTTTTCCTGCAGGCGAAGGATGTTGATCTGGGCTCGGACGTGAACTATCGGATCCGCACGGAGGAGGCACGACAGTATTTTGCACTGAACAGGCACACGGGCGAGTTGTCCCTGCTGAAATCCTTGGATTATGAGTCATTCTCTGACACAGAAGCCACCTTCACCTTCCTGGTGGAAGCCTTCGACAGCAAGGGCACGATGCCTCCTGGGCTGGCCACCGTCACCGTGAGGGTCAAGGTGAGAGCAGCCACTGCTCACTCAAGAGCATCCTTTCCTGGGGGGTACAAAACACTCTCACAGTCGTCCCAGGAACACCAGAACAACATTAGTGTCTCTGCTGCTCTGCTTTTCACTTGGACAAAGCTACTTTTTCTGCCAGCAGCTTGTTCAGTTAAACTCGCATTTTATAACAGTTATAATTACTTTTCTGTGTGCAATTATGTAGTTAAATATTGGATCACAGGTTTATGAGCTACAAGGAAGACCTGACACATATATAAACATTTTGTCCTTCAGAATCCCCAAAAGGCTGAAACCAGCCCCTAATCTGCAAAAATGACCCAGTCATGTTTCAGGTGCAGCTCTGTCTCTCAGTCAAGTCCTTTTGAGCAGATGCTTGATTTTTGTGAGCTTGGGGAGAGAAGACAGTTTAATTACTTGTAGTTTAGCTAAGGAGCAAAAATTGTAACAGGACCAAAAGCACAGCTCAGAAATGCAAACTCCATCTCCAGCAACTTCAGTGTAAATCCAAGTCTGTGGAAAGAATTCAGCATTTATGAATCAATCTGGGGTTCAGCTTCCTGTGTATCTGCAGGTGCTGTGAACTGCCATATGGTTTTGACTAATTCTGTTTGTCAGTCTCTACTGAGCTCAGAATTATTTTAGGGAAAGTAAATGTCTCAAATTATTTGGTGACAATGCAGGAAGGCTTCTGTGATAGTTCTCTGTCTGCAATATTTCTCAGTTCTGAGATGCAGGTCACCCGTTCCCTAAAAATGCGTGCTCTTCCCTGGCAGGTTCCAAGTCAGTCACAGAAATCAAAGCTTTTACCATCATTCCCTGAGGCTTTTCTGTTGGACTTTTAAGGAGGAAGTTGCTCAAACTTCCTTTTTTTCCTATAAGAAGCCTTTTCCCAGCACACTGAGTTTTTGAAAGAATAAAATGTTTCAGTTGGTTTGGGTGGGTTTGGTGGGTATTTTTAAAGGCACCTGTTTTCAAATAGGATTGTGTTCAGAGCAAGTTGTTGTCTGTGTCATAGGGCTGATGGACAAAGATGAAGGGATCGAGTGTCCCCTCAGCAGGTTTGCAGGTGACACCGAGCTGGGGGTGCAGTGACACACCTGAAGGACGGGGCCATCCAGGGGGACCTGGACAAGCTCGAGCAGCGGCCCCTGGGAATCTCAGGAGGTTTAACAAGGCCAAGTGCTGGTGCTGCCCCTGGGTCAGGAGAACCCCTGGGATCAATCCAGGCTGGGGATGAGCAGATGGAGCAGCCCAGGCAGAAGGCCCTGGGGGTGCTGGTGGGGCAGAGGCTGGACCTGCCCCGGCCCAGAAACCCCCCGTGCCCTGGGCTGATCCCCCAGCGTGGGCAGCAGGGCAGGGGGGGATTCTGCCCCTCTGCCCCTCAGGGGAGACCCTCCTGCAGAGCTGCTCCAGCCCTGGGAACAGCCCAGCAAGGACATGGAGCTGCTGGAGCCAGTCCAGAGGAGGCCCCAAGAGGATCCGAGGGCTGGAGCAGCTCTGCTGGGAGGAAAGGCTGGGAGAGTTGGGATTGTTCAGCCTGGAGAGGAGAAGCTCTGGGGTGACCTAATTGTGACCTTCTGGGGCCTGAAGGGGATGACAAGAAAGATGGAGAGAGACTATTTATAAGAGCCTGGAGTGCCAGGACAAGGGGGAATGGCTTCAAACTGACAGAGTAGGTTTAGATGGGATATTGGGAAAGAATTGTTCCCTGTGAGGGTGGGGAGGCCCTGTCCCAGGTTGCCCAGAGAAGCTGTGGCTGCCCCTGGATCCTTGGAAGTGTCCAAGGCCAGGTTGGACGGGGCTTGGAGCAACCTGGGCTAGTGGGAGGTGTCCCTGCCCATGGCAGGGGTGGAACAAGATGAGCTTTGAGGTCCCTTCCAACCCAGACCATTCTGATTCTGTGACTGTGGTTGATTGTTTTCATTAGTAGTGGGGTTCAGGGAGGAAATCCAGTTCAGCTCTGTGGCCTCAGTAACAGCAGCTTGTGCGCTCTCAGAGCAGGTGGTGTGGGAATAGGGAATTTAAGAAGGGGATTACTAGGATCAAAAAACTGGTTCTTGCTCTCCTGGAAACTCTTCCCACACATGATCAACAAAAAGATTCTTTTGAAAGGCAAGGGAGAAGCTGGAACACCGGGATGGAGGTGGGAGTAATGATTTCAGCAGTAAAAGGTTTTAGACTGGGAACAGAACAGGCTTGGGACAGAGGACAAGCAGCTGATCTTTTAAATGAGAAAGAAAATAAATCAAAGTATTAAGTGAGTGTTGTCAGGTGACAGGCTGACTTTTGCAACAGATGAGTGGACATAATTAAATATTACATATACTGCCGAGATGAAGATGTTACCTCGTTTCCAGACTGCCAGTGACAGGTAGGACAGTGGTATTTTGAGTGGCAGTTGAGAGGACTTGTGAAAAAAAACAGCTTTAATATCTCCTTTTGTTGGGCAGATGTCATTAATGTGTCAGGTGGTAGAAATTATGAACCTTGGTCACAAGAGATGTCTGGCATAGAAAGGGTGGTTTAATTGGAGCTTATAGATGAACTTCCCAGATCCAAAATTTACAGAGGTGGGGAAGAAGGTGGAGATTGCAGTCCAGACCCTGTTCTGTCCCTGTGTGAGATGTGATGCATCCACAAGAGGACACCTTGTGTCACCTGGCTGATCCAGGTGACAGAGTAGCAGGGGGGAGTGCAGAGTCTTGGAAGCCAAGTGAAAGCAATTACAGACCACCCATTCCCTCTCACTCAGCTCATCTCTGGCTCCAGGACCAGGAACTGGATGTGTCTCCTCTTAGCAGTACCTGTGTTTTCACTTCATTTAGAAGCTGGTATTTGATTAATTATTTCATCACATTGTTTGAGACCCCAGATAGGGAATAAACCAAGTGCAGATGCACTGTAGGCTCCGACATAAAAGCCATGCAGTCTTTAATAACACAGAACTGGACTAGAGGAAAGCAGAAGCAAGAATTAAAGCAGTTGTGGGGCCAAGTAGGGAACTTGTGTCACCATTACAGATTCAGCCCCTCTAGTCCTCAGAACATTATTTGTATTATTACTGAGGTCTCCAAGTCCTCTTGGGCTTCCACTGTTCTGTTCACATTTGTCATGTTTCAGAGCCCAGCTCTTTACCCAAAGCACTGTAATTTTTCCTGTGTAATAGGATTCTGTTAACCAACTGTGGACATCTGATGGTGTCATATATCATTTATGGGATATCAGACAGAAAGAGCAGCACACCCATAATCACCCTGCTGTTTGTGGCCAGAGGAGGGGGGAGACACACTGGGATATTCTTCAGACTCCCACTTTCAGCCTTTGGCGTGACAACTTACAAATATTTTGTATTAACCTTCCCTGAACTAGATCGAGGCACAGATTGCAGAGCAGAACAAACACTGCAGGAGAAATAACTTCATCTGGTCCTAGTATTGAAACACAGAACAAACTGGAGAGTTGGGCTGATTCCAAAGGGATGAGGTTCAACCAGGCCAAGGGCCGGGTCCTGCACTTTGGGCACAACAACCCCCTGCAGCCCCACGGGCTGGGGACAGTGGCTGGAGAGCAGCCAGGCAGGAAGGGAGCTGGGAGTGGGGATGGACAGGAAGCTGAACAGGAACCAGTGTGCCCAGGTGGCCAAGAGGGCCAATGGATCCTGGCCTGGATCAGGAACGGTGTGGCAGCAGGAGCAGGGAAGTGATTCTTCCCCTGTACTCAGCACTGGTGAGGCCACCCCTGGAGTGCTGTGTCCAGCTCTGGGCCCTCAGCTCAGGAAGGACATGGAGGGGCTGGAGCAGGTGCAGAGAACAGCAACAAGGCTGGGGAAGGGACTGGAGCACAAGTGCTGTGAGGAGAGGCTGAGGGAGCTGGGGCTGTTCAGCCTGGAGAAGAGGAGGCTCAGGGGAGACCTCCTCACTCTCTGCAACTCCCTGCCAGGAGGGGGGAGCCAGGTGGGGATCGGGCTCTGCTCCCAGGAACCAGCAGTAGGACAAGAGGGCTGGGTCTTCAGCTGTGCCAGGGGAGGTTTAGGTTGGATATTGGGAAGAAATTCTTTCCAAAGAGAGTGCTCAGCCATTGGAATGGGCTGCCCAGGGAAGTGGTGGATTCTCCATCCCTGGAGGTGTTTAAGGACAGACTGGATGTGGCATTAGTGCCATGGGCTGGGAAGTACAATGGGGTTGGATCAAGGGTTGGTCCTGATGATCTTGGCTGATTCTATGATTCTCTGATTCTATGATTCTGTTATTGGCCTCTGCTGCAGCCAAATGGCTCCTTGCATTGTCTGGATGTCTCAGGACTCTGTTCTCAGAGAAAGCCAAAGGTAAAACAGTGAATTCATAGAAGCATTTTGATTGGAAAAGACCTCTAAGACCATGGAGTCAAACCATTATCCAGCACCACTGTGTTCACCACTAAACTGTGCTCCCAAGTGCCCCGTCCACACGTCTTTTGAACACTTCCAGGGATGGGGACTCCACCACTGCCCTGGGCAGCCCCTTCCAATGCTTGGCCACCCTTCTAGTGAAGAAATATTTGCTAATATCCAACCTGAACCTACACTACGCAACTCAAGGGCAGTGTAGGTTGCTCCTGTCCCTTGTTCCCTGGGAGCAGAGCCCGATCCCACTGACTCCAGCCTCCTGTCAGGGAGTTGCAGAGAGCAATAATTGTTGCATCCATTCTAATATTGCCAAGGAGGAACAGTATAAATGGCATTAATTTCTTCTTGCCACCTCAAACAGACTGAAATTTCTCTTTTTTTCCCCAGTTCTCAGATTCCTTTGGCTGCTTCCATAACTTTTCCCCTTGACTGGAGGCAGCAGCAAGTCCCAGTGTGTCTGGGAGGGCTGAATCACTTGCTCTGAGTTGCCACACGGACACACGTCCCCTCCCAATACAACTGATTCCCAGTGTTAGGAAAGGCAAAATCATGGCAGTTCAAATGGTGTGCCTGTTGTTAGGATTTAGCTTTTGGAAACACTGTGGTAATA